AAATACATACCTGTAATATACACATGCCATATGTGTTACCTAATATTTTATGTGTTTCATTATAGTAACAATAACGAATATTGGTTGAAACAACAAAGAGTTCAAATGGGTCATCTTCGTTAACATCTAATTTACCCGACTTAATCTTTTTTTGTAAAGTCTTCATGCGTTTCTTCCTATGGCTGCTAAAACCTAGATCTTTCCTATAGCACCACAGCACAGAAGGCCTAGACTTTACTACAGTCTTGGATAACATATGATGCAACAATACCACCTGAGAAGATATTTTTTATAAATAAATAATCAAAGGTCCTAAGATTACAATGAAGGGACAAAGACATATATGACACAATAAAAACCAAACTACAAAGGTATTAAGTTATATTGTGTCATTTATATTGTGTTCTATACGTGCGACTGAAGACGACCACATATTCGAAATGCTATTACTATGTTGTTATTATAATGTACTTGTCTATACACTGTTATCAAGTTTTGTTCTTTAATTCGGCTTTTATCGTCCTTATATTACGTACAAACTTTTTTACAACTAATATATAAATAATAACGGCATAAACGACTGGATATTTTTAATACTTCGCAGGCATGTTTTCCAGGTGTAACATTTCACACGTGCAATTTAGAAGATTCAATGAGATACTTACTTGATCTCTTGCCTTTTCACCGATGACAACAAACATTGTTCTGTGTCCCATAACAACGCCATTTTCTATTAAAACTCGTATGCGATTATCTATCTTTTTACGGACCATTTTAATAAAATTTACTCAGAATTCTTTCTTTATAACCTTAAAATCATGCTGCCGCGAACCACACTTCTGCTACCTTAAAGGCGAAGTGAAACAATGATGGTGCGAAGGCGAAGGGAAACAATAATTTGGGGTGCTTTTTCATTTAGGGTGGAAGTGGTAAATTAAAAAAAAATATAGTACAAATAATATATATAATAGGGGTAATCAATCAGAACGATTGTTAGAAATATTATCAAATCCTCATGCCTGTATCAGGCTGTGGATTGGAGATTGAATTGAAATTTTGCCAATCAGTGTAGAATACACTAAATTTCACTAAACTTGAGTTTAGTTAACTTTACACTGATTAACCAAATTCAATTCAATCTCAATCCCCAATCCGTAGTCTGATACAGGTATCGGGGTTATATTCCAAAACTCGACGGATAAATAGCTTTTGTTACGTCCACGATAGATATCTATATAGGGAAATTTGAAAGTAGTAAAATCAGTGACTTACGTGGACGGTTAACAGAGTGATGACTCCACTTTTGGGTCACTCTGTTTCACCGAGTTTCCTCTGGGTCTCCGGAGTCTAGCGAAACGATCGATGAATCTGGTGAGAAATCAGTGCCGCTCGTTCTCCTGGCTCGGTCTCGGATGATGTTAAAGATGTATAAAAAAAAAACAGAAGAGGCAATAATTCATATTGATTAATAATTATTTAAGTTTGGCATTACCATAATATAATGTGATTATAAATTTAAACGTAAGATCCAATAGACATTAGTGACATTAACATTGACATTAACAGTTTTATATTTGTTGATTAAGAATATTTTATTGTGAAATTAGAGCTGGACATTTGTCACGCATCTATTTTGCCGACTTCTCGATTTTGTTTTGTATCTTTAGAAAGGATTATCTTGATTTTGTTTACATGAAATCTATTCTTAAGAATAGATAAACAAACAGATTAACAAAATGTTGTAGTGTTGATATTTATCGCGCGTATGGGATATTCGAAAATTATCTATAGATGTTATTTGTAATTCATTGCATGTTTTTTCTAACATGTATTTGATACTCACGTACAGAACAAATTATATCAGGGTTAATCAGGTAATATAAAATTATAACATGTTTTTCAATAGATGTAATAGTATCTTCTATACCTACGACATTTTTTTCAGTTTTGTTTGAAAATCTACTGAATAAATTATGACAATTACTTTTTATTATCATATTATATATCTTATTAATATGTATAATACATATATATTGATAGGATTTATCATACACATTTCTGTATATTTTACAAATGTCAATAAATTTTATTTTAAAACCCTACTAGCATAATGTAATTTTAAATTGTAATTTTGATGTATGTGTTCGACGTTGAGCCATATTTAAAAATACCTCTGATCTGGCGTGTAGCACTGTTTGAGGAGTAAAAAGTCATTTGATCTGTCGTTGAATCTGTAGTTGAAAATAAGAAAAGGGTCGCCTAATTCAGTATTGAGACTGCATAGCTTGAGAGGTCCGCTTATTGAGTCGTGCTACGACCTCGATTCGACAGAAATGATGGCGACAGCAGGAGATTTTGTAACTACGTTTCAAAGCCACAGCCTAGCCGCCAGATCTGTGAAAACGACTAACAGCCTCAGTGGCGCCATCTAGTGATGTCAAGATGAAAGGCTCATTGAACTCAAGTGGTTCTCGGCTAAATAGACTTATGTCTGGGCTAAATGGCCCGTTATAATTTGACCCAGTATTTTTTATTAGTTCCAAAGTCTTCACTACGAGTCGCCACTGTCCTCGATGAAGAATCGAAGTACAACTCAACGATAAGTCAGCCGCGTCTTACCAACTGAATAATACGAGTGGTACGAGTCAATGGCAAATCAGAAAGTTCTTTATTTTCCAAATTACGACTCCACGGCGAGTCGGACGATCTTTTTATTTCCAAATAGTGCTGAAATAGTGAGAAATTTGGAAATATCAACGAGAATGTGAACTTTTTAACTGATAAGAGAGAGGAATCAAACATCGATACGTCGGTCACCTATCTTCAGTCTTTCGCTCTGTTTACGAGATTGTGCGCACTTGTAAATAGTTGTGAATTATATTCACCCGCTGTGTGATAATTATCACGTGTTAATCGCAGAAATGAAGAGATCACCGTTGAGCACTCCGAGCGGCCCGAGTCGCCGGAGACACACGCCGTACAATTGGAATTCGAACGATAATGCCAACAAGAGAGGTTATGAGCCAATGAGGAACGGTGGTTACCAGTGTCTTCCTGCGAACGATGGAATGCAGCAGATTTGCGGGGATGATTTCATTCCCTTGAACATGAGCACGCCGATGACACAGTACAAGAAGAACAACGGTAAATGGCATAGTCCCAGAGGGGGACGCAATAATTCTAGTCCAGATAGCAGAGGGAGCAATTACAGAAATAGTTACGGTCCACCAAGATCGAACAATCCCAGCAACCCCAACGCAAGATGTAATTACAGAAATAACTATTACACTCCCTCAAGATCGAGTAATAGTTTGTTCTCTCCTTACAAGCAACCTTTCAAGAAGTTTTATAACCAAAAGAAGGTACTTACAGATGTCTTTCATCAAATTTACTTACCTCAAAAGTATTCGCTAGTTCAAGAAATAATTACGTGCCGACGTGTAACATCAAACAATACTTATCAAGTTGGTTTTGGCATCTCCTTGATGAAAAATATTATATATAAATATTTTATGTTAACTCTCAGCATTTATACATGATGAGAGTCTGATGTTTATAATTTCAGGGTGACAAAGCAGCACACAGGCGAGTGAGCATATCAGAATTCGTGGACATACCATTCTGCTTAAAAGATCCTTGGGAAGATCTAATGAAAAAGTTAAATGATTCAGAAGATACAGACAATGATCAAATGCTTCAGACTGAATCGTCAGCCAATCTCGAATTGGTGGACAACGATTCCACAGAGAAATCCGAGAGCAAAGGATTTCACTTACCAAGGGATGTTAATTTGAACGACTCACAAGATAGTGAGGAGTCGAAAATGAATTCTTCCGTGGACACAACCTTCGGAGAGGACACTATAAACGTTAGTAAAACATCGAAGGCCGATAGTTCGGTAGATTTAGAAATCGGCGATATTTGCTTCAATCAAGACTCAATGGAGGAAAATACGAGCAGCAACAGTGACAGTGCTCCTAGAGCCACGGCAGAGAAGGACGATGCTGGTCCAGTGGTCGAACTAGTGGCAGATACCGATGAGAAGAATATATAACAGTGACACAGCACAGAATGCGCGTTCTGAGAAGAATGCCTTACACAATAAAGAAAATGGAAATTGCGACGTCGAGAGAGAGAGAGAGAGAGAGAGAGGGAGAGACCGAGAGCGCTGCTAGGAGGCTCGGTTGGTGTACTAATAAAAAGTACAAACTTCCTTGTATATATTCTATTCCACATGCGCGTTTTACTTCTCGAAGTGTACGTGACTCAAATATCTCGTCAAATATCGAATCTGAACAAACGCATTTTCGTGCAATTTCCGTTTTCATCGAATTGTACATAAGAATACACTCGTCGATAATTTTACATATATATATAATTATGTACTTTGTACATAGTACATCGTTAGACTTGCAAAACGGTTATCCAATACTTGCGAGACGACGCGTTAGAATTAGATATATTCTACCGGGGTTTTCGAAATATGCAATCTTTTCTTTTGGGAATGGGTCAACATGAAACCATATCCAGTTGGGTAAGCGAATTACAATGATGATACTAACATTAATTTCCGGAGATTATATTTTCACAACTTGGCTGTGAAAGAAAAAAAAAAGGATGTATAGGATTTCCATTAGAGACGTTAGATGTGCAATCTCGTAGCGTATATTGAGTCCGCTAAGTGCGCAGGGACTTAGGGGAACAATATGTAAACACCAATTTCAGACTAGCGAATGAAATCACTCACGATTATTTCGAGAATTAACTCATAATCTATATGAAACTTATGAATTTTGTAATATGTGTGTGTCGCAGATATGTAACGTTCATTTTCTCTCACATTGTAAATGCGTTAACCGTGGATTTTGCCGGATCTTTTGTTCGGTTTCAACACCAATATATCTTACATATATACAGGATTACGTGACATATAATATGTATAAACTTAAGGAGCATGTTTCAAACGTAAATTGAAGTGGAAAATGTTCTATAAACATAAATCCAATTCGAGACGGTTATCCACTTACAGGTATTTAAAGTTTATAAATGATAGCACAAGTTTTTGAAACATTTTTTTTATTAAAAATGCAAAATAAAAGAGAGAACATGAAGATTACGTATCGTACGATCACGATCATGGCACGTACAGGATAGAAAGGAGAAAACTGTTTCACTTAGCGATAAGTTCGTGTATAATATTCGTGCCACGTATCTCTCAACATCACCGTATGCGTAAAAAGACGTCCATAAAAATCAGGATATGAAGCTGTGCATAATATCTCTTGGATAGAAAGTTTTTATCGTAAAAAATCGGAAAGTAAGCGGTGAACATGTTCACCGATACTCGACCTTATATAAATAGCGTTATTCTTCTTCAGTTTATCATTGGAGGCCCATTTCACATAGTAGACGATGAATGAAACTTACCTTTAAGGTAAAGATTAAGTTTCTCTGTCCTTTGAAATGAGACCGTATTGGAAAAAATTAGAAAAAAGAGAGAAAAAAAGAGGATAAAATAGTGCAAGAGATGCCGGCCTCCTGCTTATTTCTTGAACTTCTTAAAGCGTCGATTAGCAATTAGAAAACGACGAGTCACTCAAATCGGCTCGAGTGTTCCGCGAGTGTTTGACTAACATGCGAGAACTTGATGTACAAATGACGATCTGGTACAAAATATACACATACATAATTTCAATATTGCCGTTTCTCTGTCGACTCTTCTTTGATCCTCCGACGTTTGGAAACTATCGCCGTCTCGGCATTTGTATATCGCGATTTTCGTCGAAGGAGCGCATTTCCGAAACATCGTTGGATTATTTAACGACAGAACTTGTCGTTAAATTATAATTACCTGATATCGTAGATCGATTACCGTATCTCATGCACTGTCCAACGCGAAAATTTTGGCCGACGTGCATGAACCGGAAGTAACCGGCAGGCCCGATAAATAATCTAATCAAAGGACTTCAGCTTGATTAGTTTCGAAACTACCGATACCATAGCGCGGAGACTTTAATTATTTAGCAATAGAGGAAGCATCGATAGAGGAAGCCAGGTCTGTGATCCTATTCAATTTCTACCAAACATCCACGTTGAGCTACTAAACGTTACAAAAGGACTACCGGACGAATGGTAAAAAGTCAGAATTAAATAGGATGTCGAGGAAGGGGATTTCTTGCCAGGAGAAGCCAACTTCGCTCACACATCCTATTTTTCCTTAATGATTGTTACAATTTCGATTATATCAAACATCCATAATCCCCCAACAGAAAACTTCCACTTGTGAATGAAGTAAACGGCATTCGCTCACGATTAGACACGAATCTAAACGAGCTGGTTCCTAAACCACCCGTCGTGATCATTTTTTTTTTTTCTTTCCTATCTTATCGTTCATACATATAGCTTACGCTACAAAAGTTGCTGTTTAGAAACCGTCAAGGATCGCCACAATGAAATTCACACGTCTGTAAAGTTATATTCTTTTTTTTTTAATTCTTACTTTTAATCATATATCATATAAGTCAAGTTGGTACAGGACGTGTGACAGAGTTCATTCAATAAAAAGGTTTAGACCCGCTCGGGGCTATCTACAAGAAGGATCGGCTATATATAAAGTTATCGATGTAAATAAAAGGTCTTCCTCTCTCTCTCTCTCTCTTCCTCTCCTCATTACCACATATCGCGCCCTTCGTTCTCCCGCATCGACGTCGGAGGTCGCGAGCTCTCGCACTCTCTCAATTAACAACGGTTAATCGTTTGGAAAAATACACTTTAATCCTTAACCAGCATGACGGGTGAGCTCCTGCGAGCGAGTGATCGTCTAATCGTGTAACGGTGAGGACTTGAACAGAAAAGAAAAGAGAGAGAAAACAAAATTACAGGCGCGCAAAACAGACGATGTTACTTTGGTCCGTGGAAAAATGTACACAGTTTTCACCTGTCGTCGCTCCTTCGCACGGGAAGCCAAAGTGCAACTTCGACGGGAACCCGACGGAGTCTGCCGATTCCCCAAGATACTAGGACTCGAGTGTTAATTTCACGCGCTTATCATATTGATTAAGGATCAGCGCTCGGCTCAACGGTCCCTTTGTTCCTACGTTAATTACAACGGAGCGTGCAGAGTGGTAGTATATACGATATGTCTGTAAGTCGAGAGAGAGAGTGTACGGATTCATCGTATGTATAATATGTATATAGAGTAGTTAAGATCGCGCAGATCGCGTATATCATCATCTGGCTCGCACTACCAAGAGCTTTAAAGCTAATCCCTAAAGTTAGACTCGATAAATCACAGGTTTAGAATTTATAGCATGTCACGAATTGACGGACCTTAAAATCTACGCTCGCGGTGTTCGCTGGGTATTACACCGAGGATGTGTTCTTTTATTTTCTTTCGTTTCATCTTCGTCTTCTCCTTCGTCTTCGCTCGCTCGCGGATCCCGTCGAGGTATCTCCGATCGAGGAGAAGAGGATCGCGCGCGATCAGTCGCGATCGGACGGCGAAGAGGAGGACCCCTCGCCGCCCCGGCTACGCCGAATACAGAGAGATATTTACATGCAAATATACACATCGAATTTACGCGTGGAGCGCGAGACGCTCGGCGCGCAGCCCTCCGTCGCGCCGACGCATCGAGGAAAGAAAGGGAACCGGGGGGTAGTTGTTGTCGGATGGATAATCGTGGCGGCGCGTGTCTCGTTGGCTGCGTTTTTCACCGCACTTCCGCTCGATAAGTCCTTAGGCGTACACAACAGGTCCGTCGATGATAGAGGGTGCGCATATATACAAAGAGAGCTTTTATCTCCGTAGATTCGAGGGTGTTTCCTTTCGTTCTTTCTTCTGCGAGGCGGGATGATTCCTTGACGCGCGCGCGACATTGTTAAGAAAATATATATAGCTTATAAATCTGTGAAAAATAATGTTTATCCCATTTCTGTAAGAAACATAAAATCTCTCTCTCCCTTTCTCTCTCTCTCTCTCTCTCTTTCTCACTCTCACGCACACACATATTCTGTCTTTCTCGACTGTGAATCTCGCGGATGACTTGTACCGTCCCAGACAGCACAAATTTGCGAAAGACGTTTCAAGGAGATAAGAAGGTTTGAACTGATGGATGGGTGATGTTAGGTTAAATAAAAATAGAGGAGTGCGATGAGAGATAATAGGAAGAGAAATAGAAGGTAAGAAAATATGATGTATTCTTGAGTTTTTGATTCAGATCTCGACGAAACTATGTTACTTTGGATGCGATGTACAATATTTTCCCGTCAATTTGGCTTGAAATTAACATTTGCAAATGATTCAGCATGTCGAAAAATATAAAAAGATATGCATAAAAGAGATTCCATTTATTAGACCAAAATTGACTTATTTTACCCGCCCTTTACTTATCGCCCTTTACTGACTTCTCGCAAGTTCAAACATTTTTACCCTCCTTAAAGACCTCTCTGAGAAATGTCTAAAAAATATAAGACGTTTTTTGGGTGTCCTTCAGAAGTCTAAGATCTTTTAGAAACTTGTGCTGTGTCTGCTGGGGTCGTACAAACGACACGTTATATCTTACGTCTCGACTAAGTGTAGACACATCTCCGACAGTTCTTACGCTTCTAAGATCTGAGAACGGCCACTACGGTCACTGACTACCACGCTGAGAACGTCACACTATGCCGTGTTCGTGTGTATATATATATATATATATATATGCCACAGTGTTCGCTCGCGCAAATGGTAAAGTAGAAGCAATGCTTATTACTTGGGAGACTAACTTACACAGCCGCCGAACACGACGCACGCGAGATAGAGAGCGTGCCTCTTGTCATTATATACAGCTGGAGCACTCGACGTTACGACGGCGACAGAGGTTGGAATCTTCGCTATATTAATGTGTGGAAACGCACAAAGTTTCCCCCTCACAATCCCCGCACCCTCGATCGATCGAACGATTGCTCGCGCGACTTTCCGGTGCTGCGTATCAACATGATCGGAATTCTAATACTACATAAAGGTATGTACGTATATATATATATATATATGTATATATATATATATATGTACAGAGGATATAGTAATCTTAGACGGATACTCTTTCTTTGTAAAATTGCTTAATTCGGGTCCCCCTAAGACTGCCCCTTTCGTAAGAGAATATGGACTCTAATTATTTGGTCTCTTCGTTTAAAGCTATAATTATCAATCGCTTGGAGGTAATTGAATCCTTTCCGATCTCTTCGTGTGTAGACGCGTGCGTCTTTGTGTGTGTCGCGTGTGTGCGCAAAGTTCATGCTTCGATCCACCTTCACCGTCCGTACCTCTTCCTCTCCGTTGGAAACGATTCATCGTTCATCGTCGTTTTAATTTAAATACATTGCATGATAATAACGATCCACGCTTTATCGCATCTCGCTCGTTTTACCGTCCAAATGACACGATCGTTTTCCGCGTCGAATCACGGCGAAACGGATGCAACAATAAAATGGTAAATAAATAATAAGTGAGATAAACATGGCAGGTGACATCAATGTGTAATGGGGGAGAGGAATAAGCACGATCAATGCGCGCGGAAAATGTCAGACGTAAATACCATACACAATTCGAGGCGCTGATGAATCCCGGCATGAACTTCGACGTATATGGATATTCATTTCCAGAGAATACATTTCTCTCTCTCTCTCTCTCTTTCTGCCGGGGTGAGATTGAAAGCATCGTATCGTCACCTTTCCGCCGACTAGTTCGTGATACGTGAAGTGTTCGTAAGATACGTAAGCGTACATATGTATGTATATATATAAACTGAAATACATATAAAATTTAGGCGGCCACGGGCCGCTGGTTCCAAGTTTCCCGTGCCGATGTTCGACGCATCCGCGTCGTCTCCTCGGCCCGAGAAATTTCGCGTGCGCGCGCGCGCGAAAGAGACGACGCGACGGGCGTGCGAGTTGCACGATCGTTGTAGATAATTCACATGAAAGCCCATGATATTTTACGTCGCGCAGCGTGATAAGGAGATTCATTCATCGTCGGTCATCACTCCCCTGCCCCGTTTGTCTTCGGGAGAATCGCGATTCTCGGAGATTCGATATTGCTAACGAGGCGTCGCGCGCTTCGCGAGAGCTTCACTGACAATCAGGACGTACGCTGACTCGAGTAGGACGCAAAATCAGGATTTCGTCAAATTGATGTTGAAATGACGAGGAAATGATCGAGTCATGGTAAAAAAAAAAGAGATTTTATAGTCATTTTCTCGTTACTTCGCAAGGTAAAAAATAATCCAGAGAAATTACAAATTTTCTGTTGCCGTAGTAAATAAATAAATGCACCGGGTGCCTCTTAAGTGCCATTCAATATTTTAGGAATTGATTTTCCAGGTCATCTTGTGAAGAAATGAACACACGTTCGTCTGATACTTGTTTTTACAAAATAACCTCTGAGAAAGCAATTCCGAAGATATTGAATAGTACTTAACACCCCCGTATATTAATTTCTTTGCTATGATAACATAAAATCTGCCGTCCATCCTAAATTATTTCCCTTCGTGCGACGTCATCGGGATTCTCTGTTCCGTTTGGGCAGTCGTCTTCTGCGGGCGCGGGATCGTCGCGCGAGACAATGAGAACACACGGCAATCTAGGCGATCGCGAAAGAGTTAAGGTTGAGGTTATCGATTTTCTTTACGCAGCCGCTACGACGAATGATGTGGATAAAAACGCTCGCTCTCCGTGTATACCGAAGGCCCTTCGCTCCGACACGTGCGACAGCGTTCGCGCCGAAGATCCAAGGGCGATCTGGGTTATCGATCCGAGGATGTGGATTTAAGTTACAATGGCGGAATTCTACGGTGAACATGAAAGTTTAACGCTCGATGTTTAATATCGAGTGCCGGTGTTCGTCGACGCTTATCACGAAAGTTATTTCGGCGACGCGCCTGATACGACGACCAGAAGCATCGAAGTGTGTGTAAATAATTCGTGATTTCGAAATTCGTTCGTTGTAACGAGAACTCGGCACGCTTCCTTCACGAGTTTCCCTCGCATGCTATAATTAAGGGAATACGGCATAAATAAAGAAATATCTTATTTTCGCGTTCGGAAAAGACGATAATGTCGCTCGTTCGCCGCTCGTTCACCCTGCGACGAGTTTTAAATAATACAACGACTAATTGGCAAGAGTTATACGTACGCGTATATCTAGAATTGTTTTGTATATTTTTTTTCCGTGGAAGAATTTTGTGGAACAAGTTGACATTCAAAATTTATTAACAAATTAATTCCCAAATGCGTATCAGAATTAGGATAAAATTCTCCTTCATTATTACTTCATTTTCTCTTAAATTGTGTTTTATATCCGCTAAGAACACAAAACTAGCGCTCTGCATCGCAAATCGGAACCAAGCTTTCCTGTTGGTTTCCATCTTAGATCAATTTCCATCTTAACTCAGACACAAAATTCCATGTCTCTCGTATTTTATACAGCTAATCAATCATTACTTCTCCGAAGAACGTCATGTTCATAGGGAACGCGGTGATTTCCCCTTTTCAAAGTTTTTTGTTTCACGTTGCTGCTATATTAAAAAAAAAATCGACACTTCATATCGATTTGCCCTCTCGATCGGTATTCGGTGCTACCGCTGTAGGGTAGGTCATGTACGCAGTGACTGCAGCCTTGCTCCGACTTTGCGACCCCCAGCAAGCCTGGTCGCTCCCCGCTACGCCGGCCATTCGCAGTTGCACGAATGCACTTGTCGGCGCGTTTGTGTGAGTGGCATCGACCGTGGGTCTGTTTTCTGTACTGGCTGCACTAGCTTGCGGTAGTTCTCTTTTCCTCTCTTTTCTCTCTTTCTGAACGTAGCCATTGGCTCCATTCCGAAAGCGCGCCGATCGAGCGCGCCGCTTCATACAATCGTCGATATCTCAGTTTCTGCGGATCGTAGCGGCTTAGAACAAAGATCTTGATGTGAAAATGGCGGTGGACAAGGTGGTGATAACCAATGAAAGATCAAATTTAACGCGCGTCATGCATTTCGAACTCCTTCGATTTTACCGCTTAATCGAGAAGTTCGAAGTCAAGTTGAATCGACGTTGATATGCCTCGTTTCATCGTTAAGTTAATAATTTGATAAACTTGGGTACCACGATGTAATGTGATTTTATGACAATTTTCGGCGAAGTGTGCTCGTGATAAGACGCAAACGCATCGATGTGGGTCGATTGATTCCTCGAAATTTACGACTTGTAAATCATCCGCGTAGAGATATCGAGAGGTCGAGGCACATCGATGAGAGGTATAAACCACGTTAGAATTCTGACGATATGTACAAGTGACGACAGGAACACAATTTTCTCGATACTTCATCACTCCGAGGCTGCAAGTGATGTTGTGAAACGTACTTTCAAAGCAAGCTTCCTCATTAAACATGCTCGAAGAATAAATATCGTCATAAGAGAAAATACGATCGCATAAGACAGAAAATGTCGCATGGAGGAAAAGCATTCTGCATATCCATTCGTTTGCTACGGACGTTGTAAAATTTGCTGCCTCCCCGAATTATTTCTCTCCGTGCGGTTTCATTGTTCGACGAAATGAAATAATCGTCACCGAGCGATCTTTAAAGGTGTCACAATCGACATTAGCATCGTTCGCCGGACTAACTGGCCGATTTTCTGCGGCTGTGGATCTATTCGACGGCGAAAACCACCGTGATAATCCCCCTCGTAATCTTTCTCAGATACACAGGCGGTCGAATCGGTTTCTCTTCCACTCGATCGCGCGTCCTACTCGCTCAGACACGTGGATTCGCGACGAACAGAATCTATCCTCACGAATTGTTTGCGTTCTCGCTTACTACGATTAATGGTCCCGCTCTCCTCACGCAACGATTGGTCCACAGATGCGAAGTCGAGAGAGATCGGCGGTGATGAGGCACGTGTCAGCGACTCATTCTGATTATTTTAGGGGAGGGTAGGGGAGAGAGGGAGACGGAGTTCCTTAATCATACGATATGGCGCGGTGATATCACGCTATTAAAAATTCCGAACAACCCGTCGCCGACCTTCGTACGAATCTGTCGCACGCGTCACGTGATCTATCGCTCCCTCGAGAAGAACTTTCGAAATCCTCTCTCTTTCTCTCGAGAGGAAGACAACGAATCTTACAGTTCACTTGCAATCGCTCTTTGCGTCTTAATATTTGGGCTATTCTGAATGCGTAACGTGAACGTTAAAAATGCCCTTCGAATTCCAAGTTCCGTTTTTTTTATACGAGCATCGCGTATAACGTAAATCTAAATTTGTGTCCAATTCATTACTAATCAATAATATAACGGTCACTTCTTCTAACAGCCAGATCATTTTGCTAGATAAATAAGTTAGCTGGATAATTGCGCTCGAGTGCATGGCGGCGGGCGATGTAGCGTCGCGATTGCTCGTGACGTTGCGAGTACTCACGACCACGCGTTCGTCTCTCTTCAGCCACGGAGCCGGCGGCGCGAGTGACACGTCGCGGCGACGTAGACATAATTCATCCGGGCTCACCGACACTTGGCGCCCAGGCGTTACGTTATCCTCAAGTCTTTCGCGCGGAATAAGCTCTCCCCGAGACGCGTCGGGCTTGTCGCGAGATGAGAAATGTACGCATATTACAAACGCGATTTGTAGGCTCGGTGAGCTCGTGGTGAGTCCTCGGCGCATATGTCGCCTTTTCACTTCGGCTCCGGAGCCAGCAGCTTCTCCGTGTCCGTGAAAAACGATTGATCATTTTTCTCAATTTTGCGCCCCAACACGGAAAAACAACTGCGTTGGTGTGACTGAATTTTCCGCTGCCTGGAAAACTGAGATTTTTTTCCGGTGCACTGGAACTATGCTATCCTGATTTACCTGGTGTTAAAGGGCTGATGACGCCGTTGAACGGCTGGCCACAATCATTTGTCTTCATCGCAGTCGCGATACGCGAGATCCATTGGCGATTGCAGCCGTTGTACACGCGCGATTGATCGCCACCGTGTCGCGGCGTTATCTCGAGATCTTTCGACGACGCGTTCGCGACCGTCGGCGAGCTTCGCGTGTGAAAGGAAATAACGTAAGAACTGGCGAAAACGACGAAGAGAGGAGAGACCGGATCTGGGCGCCTGTTGTGAAAATGCTCGGAAAGATTTCCCGATCGGAATCGCTCAATCATAGATTTCTTCTATTGTGTTTTCTGAGGAGTGATCGAACGATTCCGATCGGAAATCTTTCCGAACAATTCCATAATAGATGTCCCGGGGATCGAGGGAACGCGCGAGGCGGGAGGAGGTGTTCGCGCGTCCGCGTACACTGAGAGAAAAAAATCTCGTTAAAATTATAGCCAGTTTCTCGGCTATATCTCCTTCCCGCGTAGAAAATTTCCCGGATCTTCCCATGTTCAGTATAGATTCCGATTAGAATACCCAAAGTTATCCCAAACACGGGATAAACCTTCTTTTCCGCGATACTGATTGGCTGTGCGTTGCGACTATCATCGCCAGAATCGAGAGACGTGTGTGTGTGTGTGTGTGTACTTGTAAAGTGTAAACATTTAAATTGTTTCATACATTTCGTCCAATCGTAATGTAAAATGGAAAGCAGAAAAAATCTTCGGGGAAATGTTGGGAATGATCAAGTAGGATTTGTGCACGTATTATGAAATCGCTCGAAATGGACGCCGATCGGAATTATTCAATTACTCCCCAAATTTCGATTGTGTTTTCTATCGTGTTCTAGGGAAGACAAAATGATTACGATCGAAATCCATTCCTAACATCTTCCATAATGCGCGCCGTATTTATGTTTCCCACCTTCCTTAGAATCGTACGTTGGAAACATTACACTTCCAATCAGAATCTACATGAATCTTCCGAATTAGAAACCGGAAAAATTTGTCAATTCGTGTCGTTCTGACAAAGAAAAGAGTAACAGCAGCAAAAATATGTATGTAAAGTTACTACCTTCGCTAAGATTAACTATCGATAAACACTCGCTACAAAAATAGATTTTCCGACTATGGGTTCTTTCACTGTGCGAATGCAGTCACGGACACCCGACGTTTTTCCTCTCGGTGCACGCTCTTCGTTCGGGTGGAGTGTAACTGAACGAGCGCGTGCTCGAAACGCTCGTTATCCTGCCGTTGCACTTACCGGATCGTCAGGTAAAAAAGTGAAGAGCGAGCGCGCGGCAGATCTGAACGCGATCCTCGGGAGCGTGGGACGCGTCCTCCGGGGAGCCTCAAAGGCGTCGAATCGAGCCACTTAGCAATATCGAAGCGACCGGGGAATCGCCGAGACGCGTACGTCTCAATGGCGGACGCTCGCGCACTCGCACGTGGGCTTTTCGCTTTCTCCCTTTTTTTTTTCGTAGGACGCGGGCCGAACGCGCCCGATTATTTCGCGGGGGTCAACGCGGATAGAGATATGGATTTACCGAGAGGCTATCGTGCGAACGATAGCCAGCGTTGCTGGATATGAACGAGATCCGCGTGGGAGACGCGAGCGCGCGGAGTTCCTACGAGATACGAGTAGCAAATATATTTATAACCTTCGAACTTTTCTCTAAAGTACAACACGCACGAGAGTATCGGTTAGAAGGAGTAGAGGCAGGTTGCTCTCACACACACATATACACACACACTCTCTTTCTCTCTCTTTGTTCCCCCTCTCTCTCTCTCTCTTTCCCTCTCCTTATCTGTACTTACTTGGGTCGTTTGCGATTCCCCAAAGAAGGTACGCAGCGACAATGCCGCGATTGCTCGAAGGGATGAGGACACAAGGAGTGAAAGAAAGAGAGAAGAAGGCAAGAAGAGGAGGCAAAGGGTCAAACGTCCGGTCGCGACTCGCGATCAACGGCGAGCCCAGCGTTGGGCGGCGAGGCGAAGTACGGGAGTCGCGGACGGTTTACACGAGGAGCTCCTTCAGGAAGTCCTCGGCAAGCAAGTCCTACAAGTAGTCGTCGACGCGCTCGCTCTCGTCCGGCGGGCTCGGCTCGCTCACGCTGAGAATCGGCAGGCCGAAGTGCTGCACCTCGATGCTCGACTCCGTAGGGCGGCGCGTGTAGTCGCAGCTCTTCGAGTGCCGCTCGGCGTCCGCGCGCCGATGGTAGTGATGGTACCGCGAGGACGGACGAGTGGCCTCGGAATCGTAAGATCGCCGATAACACCTGCGGGATTGTCGGCATCAGTTGCCTTCGTCATCGTTGCCGTCGTGTTCGTCGGGAGTGATCGCGATCGAGTGCGTTTAGAATTTGCCGAAAACCGGCTCTTGCTCGCCGTGTCAACTCGGACCGTATCAGAGACTGTGTCAGAGAGCTTTTTCAATCCTGGTTCGTCTGAAACCAGGGTTAAACGAGCTCTTTGAGAAGTAACATTACTTGTAGGAAGTTACTTTCAAGGAGAGACAGAACGGACCCTCTCGGAGTTTAATCATGCACGGAAAGAAAACGTGCCGTTCTATCTCTCATATATGACCGAAACGCGGATAACACGGATTCTCTATGAAGGAACCTCCGAAGAGATATTCGATTGTTGAATTCGTCGTCACAGATGCACAGATCGGCCCCGCGTGAGACTCGTCGCGTGACCAGGTAGTCGCTCTCGAACGGCTAAAGAGATATTTGTAGAGCGAAACGACGTCACCAACGTTCATATATTTATGATCGATAGCCTCGGGAAAGTACCCCCGGGGAGATATAAATATCAATGCTTTATTGCAAATTCACGAGAGAATGCATTTTGCAAGCGTCGCGGGAGGTATCCGCGCTGTGAGCAACCATATCCCAAAGTGGACGACGGCCGGACAGCCAAGGAAGGTTCTCTCTTAGTCGCTCGTTTAAAACGCGCCGAGAAATACTTCCGACGAGGAAAAAGCGCGAAAAAGCGTGATCTTATGTTTAAAATAGACCATGCAGAAATTAAAGTTGAAAGAGGTATGATGACACTTCCGGTTGAATAATATCTTTAAGCACCGTGCAGAATGAAATGAAATGAATAAAAAGTATGAATTTTAGTTGCAAATATCTCAGCTTTTAAATGGTCAATCTTTTTCTAATTATACGAGCGGTTAAATAATATTTTAATGTGTACGTAGTGCGAGTTTTATTAAATTCTCGTCAAACTCGTTTCACCTTACAACCTCCTTGAGGGAATTGCTTAATGAAGAAACCGCATTGCGAACGCAGCAATGAAGCGCGCGCATCTCTTTCCTCCCTCTCAAAACTTGCCTAACCAAAAAACTAGACTCGTTTCCTCTTCCTCAAAGCATGAGCGGAGTAACTTCGTTATGAGCGAAAAGCTACGGCGGCTTTTCCGCGGCTAGAAAATTTCACCGACCATATTCGAACTCGTCAACTATATTCGGTCGTTTCCCGCGGATTATGTAACTATTCTCTGAATTATCGTGGATTATCGTTGGTGCTCACCGTGGTGGCGTTAACTTTGCGCTGCACACCGAAAAGGAGAACTTTCAGCGCTACTCCCGTAGTTTGTGGAAATAATCTCTAAATTTTAATTACGGCATTCTCGTAAATTAGAGCAACCGCACATTTTTTCACCCACGAGCACACGCGGTTTCGCGGCCGCGATAACTGCGAGAGACCGGAAACGACGCGGTGAAATTTCACTCAGATGAGATTTAATTTAATTTAGAATTCAAAAGAAGGAAGCAGGAAAAACCCGCGAGTTTCAACTTTATCCGAAGATTAATTGCAGTGCAAAATTGCCTCGCGTCGTCTTTAAGAACGAGGAAGAGAGTAGCGATTGAACACCGCACGAGAAGAGAAATATACGAATATATATATATATAAATTAATGAAAATTAATATGAACATTAATATGAACATAGAGCTTATTTTTACCGCTCGTCCATGGAAGCAGGCTGTCGCACTGGGCATCTGACGTACTCGTGATTTCCGCTACTGCGCCATCCTCCGAAACGTCTGGCGACCAACGACGAAGACGCCACCGGGGAATCCCTGAAAGCGACGCCGGGAGGGATTATTTCTGACGTGCCGCGAGAATGATCCGCACGGCCGAGCTTATACAGTGCGATATTTACATTCGTCGTGATATTTACACTTGCCGACGATTAAATCGCGAAATGAAGTCCGTTGGAGTGAAATCGGAGTCAGGATCGGTCGATGGACACGACGTGAATACGCTCGTTAACCCGCTCGATCGTGTGCTCGAAATGATTTAATTTCACTCAATTACATGGATTTCGTCGTCTGCGAAAGACCTTTAATCTTCATCGCTGAGTGTCCTCGTGATTCATTGATCACGAGCGTCATTTTGCGGACATCTCTCTCGGAAATGAATCACGAGGCACCGTGTCAATTGCGTTTACCTACGAGATCAGCGTGCGGATATTCGCGACGCGACGGAGCGCCGGCGATAGGCGAGCGAAGTTCTGAATGTCAAGGGAGATAAAGCCGCGGGGCAGGAATAAAGTGGCATGCTTTGCGTAAATGCTACGACGAAATCAAGCTAGGTACTAGCGGGCAGTCTGCGTATACCGCATGTGATACGCGGGCGCTCTCATAATTTATTACCTCCGTACTGGGCGGCGTTGCGTTAGCGACACGTGTGCATGTAACATTGGCATTATGGAAATGATGCGAGGCAAGAAAGGAAAGCGGGACACTCGCGGGATATATCCTACGGCACGCGTGGAGAATTCAANCCCCCCCCCCCCGACCTAAATATAGTACGAGTGCTCTCTCGTGCGCTGTGCATTGTTGCTGAATCGCGTTGCCGCGTTTAAGGACAGATGCACACTCGAATCGGACGACGCGAGACGAGCTGAAAGCGCCGGGTGAAAGGTCGCCGCGGGGTCGGTCGCGACGAATACCGCGATGTACGCGACGTATCGGCACACACGGAAGCGATCCTCGATATTTCCGAGCGGCATACCGATTAAAAAGTATATTTCAAATTCGAGGTGGATCCCCAATGCGACGTTGTACGCCTCGATTTCCACGATTTTCACAGCGAGTTCCCTTTTCCCCGATAAAGAGGGGAGATATACGGTTCTCGTTTCTCGATAGCGAAATAAGTGTTCGCGATATTAAACGGTTAAAAATCGATACTTTTTTTTTTTGGTTTAATAATAGTAACAATAACGCCTTATTGTAATATTAAAAATATATCGCGCGCTTAAAAATAGTATTAAGTGTTACCTCATTTATTGAAAATTTACTGTTTAAGATAATTAACGTTTCGAAACATGAGTAATATAAATTCAACGCGTGAATTTAATGTGATTTAAATCGGGTTTCAAATTTGCGTTCCAAAGGAGAGTCGCAAAATTGACGAAGTCCCGCGTTAAAATATCCACGAAGTTTATAAACGGGCAATTACATCGTTACGGGAAGAAAGATTCGCGAATGTACGAAGGTAGCCACTCGATTTCGCATAATAGCGACAGCGATCCGCTTGATTGCTCTCGTAAGCATTCTCGTAGAATCGTGGACGATGGTATCGCCGAGTCATTACGATGCAGGAAATGAAACGCGCAGATACCGAGTAGTTATAAATGAAGAGACTGCTTAATGGTTTTATGCCTGGCACGACGGCCGAACAACGCTCGGCCGAAATTATGATCGATTTATCGCGGAGCGAGATGAAACGACGCGATAACGGATCCCGCTTCGTAATAACTACATTAAGCCGAACTCCGGCGGCGATTTCAACTTCTCCATTTATTTTCTGCATATTTTGCATACATTGGCGTGGGACAAAGACGGACACGCGTCGTTTAAGCAACGTTCAATCAGCAACGTTCTCTGAAACCTCTTTGTCCATTCATAGAAACGATTCGTCCTCTCGTCACTAGGTCTGAAAATCAAATCAAGATTGAAAAATCTCCCGAAGAGATCGCAATATTCTTTCTTATACGTGAGAATACATCTATTCGTGATTTAAGACCAATTTGTTTCCGTACCAAATACGAAATTTAAATACCTCTTTATAGGACGGCTCGTTGCATTTTGACGGGGCGTTAAAATATTCCGAAATAAAAGCCATATCACCCATTCTACCCGGGAATAATTTTATTAGCTTCCACAGGGGATAGCTGAGGGGGTTTAATCGCACATCCCGCGCACTTTCTCCCATTCACGCGAAGCCCGCTCGCCGACGTCGTCGTCATCCTGGCCGATGGCAATCACGAGCTTGCGAGACCATCGTGATGCGACGACGTGAGGATACGCGGACGCTGACGGCGAGCGGAAGGTCGGGCGATCGCGGGGGGCTCGCAAAGTGGCCAAAGTCATTTACATGCCAGACGCTGGTTGAGGCTAGTGGTGTCGCCCGGTGAAATTGTGATCGATATGGCCAGCGGCCCCCCTCCTCCTGCCGGCCGTGCATCGGCGTGTATCGCCGCGGATCGAAGCCGCCATGTTCCGGCAACAATGTAGCGCTGCATTTAAATTCCCCCGGCTGTCATTACCGCTCCCGCTCTCGCGGCGGCAGGGGGAGGGGCGAAGGTGCACCTGGCCGCGACGGTCGATGCGTTTACCCTGTATAAGTCGCACCATGAGCTGGCAATCTGCATTTCTAACGACGCACGTGGATCTCCCCCCTTCGACTGACATCCGCTACGCGTGCTTGTCCAGCCATAAGACCAGCTAAAGTAGAGATGTTGACATCAATTCCTGCCCCGATATCGGCACCGCCGGATCTTTGAGACTGGCAACGACGATGTTATGAATTTTGATGATGCGGATTTTCATTATTGCGAATTTCGAATTCATCCATGCAGACTTGTACAGGAAATGATGAAAAAATCGTATTCAAAAGTTTTCGATGTAACGCTTTTCAAAGAGAAGTTTGTCTGGTCATCCTCTTATTAAACAAACTATACATGCTTATCCAGCATACAGATTATAGTTTTAAATGCGCAAAGAGGATAAATTAAAAAACATGACCGCAATTATTATTTTTAATATGAATAATCTAAAGTATAAGAGAAAATAGTTTATTGATTCTACATAAAAATGAAAAAAAAATTTGCATGTCTTCAATAAAGGATTTTATGTTTATATATTCAATAATTCAACAACTATCTGGTATCTTGATTTTTCGCTCGGATCAGTTTTACTCATGAGTGCCGAACTGAGATTAAAATCACACATTAATATGATTCAAAGCGCACGTATTAATATAAATGGAAATTCGATATATAATATATATCTGCCGGGCAAAGCGAAAGTTTGAAGAAGTGTTTGTCTGGAACGGCGTGTTAGCAATGTGGAGATGAATTCTGCTTTATTATCCGGAAACTAAATCCCCGCTTTATACGCCGGCGAGAATTGACATATCGACATATTTTAATTAAAATCTGTCCCATATTTTTGTTGCGTATTATTTTAGCTTTCGACGTAATGTATCCTTTTCGTTGATATCGATGTGTTGACAAGTCTTCAATAACGAATGCCGGTTTTATTACACGCCGTTCCGCTTTATTTTATCATTAATAGCTAATGAGAACGCATTTTAGTATCTTCCCGGAGAATCCCGATGCTTCACTTTTGCAAATCTTTAATAACACTTTCATCAATCACCGACGCTTCTCAATTAAATAATTAACTGTGGCCGTGGCAAAAAATCTCGCGGATTATGCAGCGCGCGAACGACGATACGAAGTTCCTGTGTTTGATTTGCGATCGTATTTATGCGCGAATGTTGTGTGTAATTCGACTCGATATGATCGACGAGAGTGCATGCTGAATTCTATTTACGTAATGTAGGAAAGCATATTATATTTCTCGGTGGCGAAATAACGGCACTTAATAAAACGGATAAGATCACCCGCGCGAGAATATCGGCACAGAGATGCGCCGTTCGATTTGCGTAGGTGAAATTGTTAATTGTTAGAGAAAATATATGTGAAAGGTAAAACGTATAAATTCCCGTCGGTCCGCTCGTCGTTAGGATGTGTATGTACGCACGGTCGAAGAGCACGAGGCTCTACATATTGGATAAATTCGCGTGAAACGTACGGAGTGTATCCCGTATAACACGCGAGCTTGAGTTTAACGACAGACTCTTCGACGGCGGTTTTAGAGCCGATTTTTCTCCCTGCCGTTAAACTTAGATTCGCCAATCGCACCGAAGATAGCCTGCATTCACAACGAACGAAACACTGAGAGGAATCCTACGAAAATTATAGTCATTTCCGACTTTTCTAATGCTGGCGCTACACTTACTAGAGAAATGCTTCTCCTGACTATAATTCTGCCACTTATGCGACTATAGTTATAAATGCCGCAAAAATTGTTTTCTCAGCGAAGGATCACCGAGATTCGCGACTTTAAGAGAAGATACTCCGTACCGGATGGTCTTCTCTCAGGGAGTTCCACTCGAAACCTGAATAGAGAATGCTGACGCGTCCCAAGTTGATTTGAATAATATTTGCTCGAGAAGCGCGGCGCAATCGTATTTTTGCGCGGCTCTCTTCGCAATTTGAAAGCTCATCGTAACGACACGCTGATATTTATTTGCGTTTATGCATGGTATACTCGAATAGCCGTAAAAGTGTCATAAAGTGCGCATGAGCTTTGATGCAATCATTAAAATGCACTAAGTGAACGCAGATGCTTCAGCGGTAAAAACTGCGGTAAAAAATTGCTTGCACATGCACCGCCTGATGGAGGCGAAAAGGGTGTTCGCTGATTTCTATTATGCAAATGCGTAGCATGGGGCCCGTTTTAGTGATTTCCAAGCAAAATGCGCTCTCGCGACGATAATAAATCGCGAGGAGAGAGGACGGTGTCGGGGATGAAACATGGCTCAAGTAGCGGCACGATGCAGCTGGAGCAATTTGCGCAATCTACGGTCAGCGTAAAGTTATCTAAGGCACGCGAAACCCCGTTAGGCGAGATTTTCTCTCTCTTATCTCATATCTCGTTTGCATATCGTGATCTTTTGCGATACCACTTAATAGATTACTATATCGGCCCGAACGGGATAGCGTGCGAATCCGTCCGAGAGTCGTTGAATTATAAGGGTATTGTCTGCACGCTGCAACTGGCAAATGCGAATCTCTTAGACAGCCATGCGGCACGTCGAGGCGAGGATTTTCGCAACATTCGCGAAGTTTTTTCGCGATAATCTTACACGGAAGAAAACCATTTTTTTCCCCGCAGCGAAACTATCGTCGCTGCTGCATATTCGTTGCGACAGTGATTAAATTTAGTCGACTTAACTAAATTAGCGAGTGATTCGTAATTGGAGCAGAAACTAAGCGTTTGAGAACATATTTACTAAGATTTTTTTACTTATTTTTTACGTAGAATCTATCCTGTGAGTTTACCGCTGGAGTTCCGATGCACCATGTGTAATAACTGACAGATTTTGTTGCGACAGCATAGAATCTGCCGTGACAGCAAATTATTTTTCCCCGTGTGAGAAATAAAATCAACTGGTCTCTGCTCATCTTTTAAATCTTTTCAAGCAATGCGTTTTCACTCTCGCATCTTTCAAGATTTCAGAAATATCCCTGGACAATATTTTTCCGAATAATTAGGGATAATTTTGGAAAATTGAACGGGAGTGATCGAAGTTATTCCCGTTCGCAACATTCTACGGTGGAGCAAACTTGTATAGAGTCCGTACGCTAAGTTTCAGCGGAATTAATTAGATATATTTAGCGTCAGCAGGCAAGTCGGGTCAACGACGTTAGCCGTGGTAAATTTCGCGTAACAGGAGCGATGATGGATGGTAATTGTGTCGCCGCGAGCAGTTAATTCCGTCCGCCCTCGTGCGTGTCAATATTGTTCACTTCTCCCGGTCATGATTTCTCAGACATTACGTGTTTCTCTTCGGCGACACCTCGAGAAAATTAGTTGTTTCGCGACTTCTGTGCTACAGTACTAAAGGTTCAACAGAGAGCCAAAATTTCCACTTGGACAAACTCTGCTGGCAGTCTATTCCCGCATTACCATAAAATACAGTGTGAAATTGAAAAGAATTCGAAGGAATTTATACGAAAATAAGCTACCAATATGCTCTTCGTGTGCGACCGACGAAAATCAACGCGACAATCGCCGCGTTAATCGAAGCATCGGGTCCGCGGAAAAAGCCGTAACGTCGGAAATCGGCTGGCAATCAGCAATATTGACCTCGAGCGTAACTCACCTCGAAGAGGGCTGCTGATTACTGGGATCCAACAGCGACGTTTCCGTATTGTCCTTCGGCGCGCTGTCGAGGCTGCTCTGCCTCCTCGAGTCCTGATCGTCGGACTTGTCGTCCTGGCTCGGCTTTAGGAAGGACTCGCGGTCGCCCTCGGCGCCCTCGATGTCCTTGGAGTTCCTACGTGGGTCTTGCTGGCGATTCGTTGACGCGAGAGGTAAGTTATCTGCACTGCGAACCTTACGGCACAACTTCGACGTGGAGCCGTGGCGTCGGAGGAATTCCTGCAACCACAAGGTACAAGGCGCGCGCTGAGGGATGACTACGAGGACGCGTGATTGGCGAAGATGGAGGCCCCCAGAGAGACTAGACGGACGAGACTGTTCATGAACATGTTTTCACGTTAGTGCGCTATTGAATGTGTGTTAATAAGACGAGGCGTTTCGGTGATGAACAGGTAGCGTGGACGCGTGAATGGAATCATGAAAACGACTAAAGTGGTAGAAACGTCTCTTCGCGAGTACACATTATGTTTTCCTCACGATAACCGTAATGTGTGTGTGTGTGTGTGCGTTGTGCTCACGTCCTGTTTCGTGTTCGAATCACATACTAACTCTTTTTTTATTATTTTATTATTTTTCGCCTTCAATTATCAGTTTCCATTAACTTGATAGAAAGGCAAGACATACTAATGAAAAATCGACGGATATGCTTCTTGCATGGGGAGTCTTCAAAATCGATTTTCTCGAGAACAAAGCGTCATTTGGGAGACTTTAATTTTACATCTTCGATTTATTTTTTCAAGGAAAAGTCACTCCCTTCCTAGTTGTACAACGAATACCAAACTACTTTGTATATGTGCCTAATATCCGTTGTGGTTTGCAATTCTATGGGATGGTCGGTTTTACGCCAGGAGCGCAACGAGAGATTGTGCCTCAATTACAACGACAGTTAGTGGATTTGTGAAGCGAAAGTAACATTTCCTCCCTTTTCCGCGAATCTCTCGTTCGTGACTCATCTGTGAAATCAAGCGCGAGATTAATTAATCGGACGACTCGGTCCGTTAATTCCGTGCGCATCATACGTTCGTAGAAACGAACGGTACGTGCCGTATGCGGCAAATCACCGTGTACAATATCGACGTTGTAGAACATCAAGCAGAGATCCTTGTATTATTAACGGCATTATCGTGCTAGTATTGTGCCAATTGTGAGCCGCTTATCGTCGGTATTGTTGTGCCAATTACGGTACAATGGTGCGCGGTCCTGGTATGACCTTGGCATGACGTGAATTACAAGGAGATTAAAGAGAGAGAAATGGGAGGAAGAGAAAGAAAGAAAGAAAAATAAAACGAGAGAGATATATGTGTGTATGTGTACGACGGAGTGAGAAAGACAGATGTAGAATAAAGTAGACATTAAGTTAGTGCCGAGTTCGACGAAGTACGCGATTCAGAAACGTAACACACACATTCGTTCACATGCGGCGAAAGTAAATTTGTCCATTTCCTTACAAGTAATCCAACGAACATATCGATCATCCGGTGCACTACACTTCGCTTCAGAACTACCTTGAACTTTGACGTTTGAGAAGTATCTCTTTCGCACGAACTCTTTCGTGTTCATTATTTATTGAAATAACTGTCGCATTGAGGGATATGGTTATTCCCTCCGACTTCGTTGCGTTACGTTAACAATATATGCCGAAACGCGCAATCTGAAATTGTAACAATCGTGTAACAATCGGGCACGTGTGGGCGACGTGTGCACGTTCACGTGCAGATTTGTTTATCGAGAAATTTTGGCTACGCTTTANGGGAGGGAAGAGAGAGAGAGAGAGAGAGAGAGAGAGAGAGAGAGAGAGAAAGTTGTGGTAGAACGAAGAATCATATATCGAACGCTCAGGGATGCGAGCGCGTAAATAAATTCTCCTAATAAATCGATATAACGTGTGTCTCGTATTTTTTCGCGTTCCGCTGCGCGTCCACGAGATTGTAACTTCGCTCGTCTATCGCGGTTTCGTTCTCGTCTTTGTCGCTTAACGATGTGTCTTGCTCTCTGAATTTCTTCGAGCGAAATTTCATTCGCGAAAACAAAATCGAATTATTCTTGAACTGGAACAGTGAATCTGATGTATTCCGCCACCACAGGAACAAATTCACTCGAATTAATTGAACTGAGTTTGAGCAAGTTTGAGTTAAGCATTCATTTTTGACACTTTAGGCGCTGGTATTAAATTCGAATAAATGTTCACTCTCGTAAAAATCGTTTTGAGAGAGATTTCGCTGCAAAAAATTCCGAGAGTACTTTTTGAAATTCCCTCTCGACACACATGAGTATATATCACTTCTACGTAAATTAAAATATAAATAAAAAATTAAAGTGTAAATTTTCGAGAGAGAATACATATAATACAAGTAATAATATTAATATATTATATTGTGTCGATGCAAAAATTCGTTCCGCTATTTAATCAATTTTTTCCCCAAAAATTCTAGAATTTCTACGGGCGCGGGATCATTTAGTTACCGAAGAGATGACAGTCCGTCGAGCGAAACAAAAAATTTCAATTAAATAAACATCATACGTACAGTTTGATTAAAAAAAGAAGAAACTTTTGCATCGGGCCGATAGATTAAGATTTATCGGCTCGAGAGAGAGAGAGAGAGAGAGAGAGAGAGTTCCAAGGCACGGAGACGCACGGAGGAAAAAGTTTGATTGAATTAACGTGACAAAGAACGAATCAAACGCGTTTTGGTCGGAGGAGATGAAATTTCCGGTGATAAAAGTCGGATTTGGTTCGTAAGAAATTCGCGTCTCCCTCGATTAAAGTGCGGTTTGGTTCGTTCATTGTCACGTTAATTCGACCAATTCCTCTTCTCCGCGCAAACTTCGTGAAACTCGACGTGAGATCGCGTTCTTCTTCCCTCTGGTATTTTTACATTCCGATCTCTCTCGGGTATCACCGCAGTCGTAGATATCGACGCCGAGGAGACCGCGTGGTAGTCGAGCGACGTCGCTCGTTTCATTGTAAAGAGACTCTAAGTTATCTATCCTGCGGATAGAACTACCGTGGAGCTAAAGCCATCCTTGGAACTCGCTCGCCGGCTTCACTGATTTCCAATTTCAATCACCTCGATTGCTATAATCGGAAAATGCCTGCCCGGCATGGTTACGCGCCCACGACCACCACAGGCCGACGTCGACGTCGACGTTGGCGGCGGCGGCGGGCTCTGTCCATTCCGGGGAAGGTCGCGGCGAAATCGGATCGATCGGAGCCAGGTTCGAGGACGCGGCTGTCCACCTCGCGTAATCCATCGATCTTTCCGCGTAGCGTGGATTTTTCCCGGCTCGATTACTCACCTGGGATAGGAAGCCGGCTACGTCGATGGCGCTGTTCACGCGTGGCCTCGATGTTCTCGGCCAGCCTAAAGCTCCGCCGCTGTCTAAGGAGTCCACGTGATGGCTCGACCAGTGCAGATGCTGGAAATTTCAGTCGTTTCTGATCACGTTATCAGCACGGGGAGAAGTGGGCCGGGGCGGAGGGGGGGGGGGACGCGATCGAGACGGGCGGTGATAATTGCGGTCGAGCGCGGCCTCTCGAGAAAGCGTGACGTTTTAAAAGATGCACGTGGGATCTCTACGTGATAAGAAAAGTTGAGAGGCCGAGCGGAATGGGGCGAGCGAATGAGGGTGCCGTGCCCGTGGAGAGAACAGGAGAGCTGCAAACATGAGGTTTGTTTTCTATTCCTGCACTGGTTGCACTCTAAAAGAAATGTACACTGAAGCGTTTTCTAGCCCGGCGACGTCAGCGACGCTGTCCTCTACTCCAGTACAGCGAGAGTTCACTGAACTGGCTGCATTAGGTCCGCAGTGCAAGCAGTGCAAGGGACAATTGGGACAGTACTTTCGAGTAAGAATGCAAGAAACATGGAGTAGTCTGTATCGTTATGTCATTGAATCGCTGTACTTTCACTCCAATATTCAAGATATGTATAAACGTGCGAAGCAATACACCTAAGTGAAAACTACGTTTTATCACTTCTACTTTGAAAGTTTACACTTTTAAACGTTCACTATGCCGCTCTATCGAGATAATAATTAAATAAGTAAAATATTAAAGTAGCTGTTTTCCTAGATACTGTAAAGAGATTTTACAAGATCTATATTTTAATATGTAAAAGAGAAGGTGATATTAAGGCTCTTGTATAATGGCACGCCCTTATTACGGCCGCAATTAGGTGGCCAATTCTAATGATTACTTAGGGAATATTTGTTTAGTAAATTGTTTAGCCCGTCGTTACATAATAACGTTAATATGCCATATAACAGCCGGCATTTGTTATAACTCATTTTCATTTTCGAGCATTTTGACATGTTTTCAACATGTTTTACTTTTAGCATTTAATTTTATATAATTTTCCATTCTTCTCAAACTTGGGTGTTTCATCGGAGGAATATATGGACAGAGCGTTGTATCAACACGCAGCTCATTACGATAAATTGCACGCTGCAGGGGCACGCGTGAAAGAGTGAAAGCGCGTCGTACAAACTCGAACTAGTTACGCACGTTCTCACTCACTCATGCGCATCTCCGGACAGGCAACCCGTCGTAATGAGCTGTATGTTGATGAGACACCCTGTGATTCTGTAAACTTGAGTGTTTTGTGCGTTATTTAACATCCTATTCCGTTGTACACATGTTGAGTTGCGCAAAGTTAAACGATAGCATGGCATTTTGCTAATGTGACCTCCCCTTTAAAATAGATTTACCGCCTCTTTTTCGAGACTTTCGCATTGAAGTGATTATTCAATAAGTCAATAATTCAAGTTAAATTAACGTTCTAAATAGCACGCATTTTATAATATTTTTGAGTCTAGAATCGGTTGAACAACACTTTACGAATGTAATCGTTGAGTTTACAATTCAAGATATTAATTATTAACAAAATTATATAAAGCAGAGGGCCATAATATCGCCTTCTTCTCTGGGATGTAACATTCCAACATACAAGTTAGAATCATCGTCAGTTAACGTTAAAAATAACAGTTGTTCAATTCTACGATAATATAACTAAGCGCGCCATGTTATCTTTGCGTTAGAGCGTTTTTCATTCCTTGGCTGCAGACTCGTCAGTTCTGGCTTGCACTAGTTCGGTTCAGTTCTAGTACAACCCCAGTGCAGGAATAGAAAACAAACCCAAGAGTGAGCCACTGAATCTGCACCGGAGACCCGTCAAGCGGTTGCCCACGCTTGGTAAGTCCGCCCGACGGCGGAGAGCGCGACGTCGGCCGTCGGCGAGGATCGGAGAGGCTATTACGCGCCTCGATCTTCGCAGCGAGGCCGAGGAAAACTCGAACTTGCTGTTACAGGTCCCGAGAGGGACGAGAACGCCCACGTTGGGACGTGGAGCAGCGAGTTGGATACCCATCCAATCGTATCTCTGAAATCGACGAGACGAAAGACTTCATCCGTAGGTGAATCTTTTGCTTTTTTCTCTCTTTCGCGACGCGGTGGCCATGAATTCTTCACGTTCTCGCGTGCCGAGCCGACTGTAGGATCTCCGGTGCAAAGGAAGCGCGTTACTTCGCGGGACAATCAGCACAACGTCGTGATGACGATTGCGATATGAAAGTGTCGCGCTTTCCGTCGTGGAGAAAGAAACACTGGTTGCGGACGGGAGAAATTGTCTCATGATGTAGCACCTTCATCCCACTGCCCCTTTTTTCCTTCTTTACTTTCATTCGTTTTGTTTCTTTCTTCTTTTTTCTTTTTCGTCTAAGTTTCTCCCGAACGATCACAGGAACACAAGCGCACACCTCACGAGTTTGCAAACTACATGTTGTGTTATGCGTACACGTCTATCTCTAGGACAACTGAAGAAGAGGATTCATAAACGCTACAGTTTTCAAGTAGTTGAGGTGCTGACGTATCACACATAGTGTAGAAAATCGCGCTTCCCAAACTCGAATTCTCGCTAGACTCGGAATAATAAACGGTAGGTAAAGCGAATCTCTCGTTGTCGGTTGCTCGGCGCTGTGTTTTTCTTCTTTCCTTTTTTTTGTATCGCGTGTGAACAGATTCGGAGAGATCACTGTTCTCGAGCCACGATGGAAAAATACTTACACGTCGGAGCTCATCGCATATTCGCGACAGCAGTCGCTAATCGAGTCCATAGAGACGATCCGAGAAATGCGCTCGGACGAAAGCGCGATTCCTGCGATGGGATACAATCGGAACCGAGTTCTGAGCTTAACGGTCGTTGAGGGTTCGTTAAGTAGAAAGAGAGCGTGATTAAACGATGCCGGGTCAAACTTTAATTTCCGACTAGCCAACCTTCGTTCCGGTCGAACGCGAGGCACACGTCGAATTCGGAGAGCGAGAAAAGGGATTCGCGCTCAAACATTTGGGCTCCGTTTTTTTTCTTTTCTTCTCCTTTTTATTGGAAACATCTCGGGGCACATTTTCACGCGGATTTTCACCGATCGTCTGTTCGAAGCGCCGTCGTATCGGGAAAGAGATAGAAACAGCCTCGATGGCGACGAATATCTTTCAAAACGTACAGTCGGTGCCGCGTATGCTTCTACCATTCCGTACAGACGGAAAATTATACGATTTCTAACCCGTAGCTTCAACGTAAGGTTGAAAATCGCACACAAGAAAGAAAACGCTCGGTTCAAGTAGTATAATTACTCCTTAGCCAATTTTTACTCGGACTTAGTAAAAAATTGCTGAGGAGTATCGGAATAATTTATTTGAATGTCTGTTAGCACACAGATAAAAATTATCAACGCGAAATTCTTTCTTTTCTGTTTTGTTTTCGTCGCGCGCGATACGACGCGTCTTCGTTCTCCGGTTTATTCTACTCCGATGATACTTTCCGAAGCGTCTTCGGAGGCGGTGGGTGGACTAACCAAGCATCGTCGTGGCGCGATAATCGGGGCTGATGGGAAGCGTCGAAGTGTGTATTGTGCGAAGCATCAACTTTAACACGCTTGAACGCCGGCGACTCTTCGGTCTGCCATTAGTGCGAGGAGGTGCAATGTTCGAGCTAATAATAATGTAAAACGACACCCGTCTCGGGTGGCTTCGTTCTTTCTGCGCTCTACAAAACTAGCTAGTCTACCGACTCGGCCCTCGCACGAGCCGTCCATTCACCCCGGTCTCTTGCAAGTAGCAAGCATTTTGCGAAAGCGACGAGACGGTGCGAAAGTTCAGCTTTCTACCGGTGACGACGACGACGACAATGACGAGGACGACATGACAGATAGAAACTTGATACGCAACGTTAACACATACGATACGAAAAACGATACCGAGCGTTCGACGGGGATATCCGACAAAGACGAAAACAACGTGCGGACGTAATACCTTGTTGCACCAATAGCGTGGGGGGGCTTTTTTTCGCTTTTCGTGATCGCCGACACGCGATTCGTACGGACGTGTATCGTGTATCGTGAATTCCCGTGCGTGAGGAAGGAGTTCACGGTGTTGTGCTTATTAATATCGTGTTCACAAACGGTGCTCAATATGCATCAAAGAGGTGACTGGTGGCGGGGCGGGTTCAAGCGGCTTCAAGCGATCGAGAAACAGAGATAGGTGGAGGTCTATTTTCAAACCAAGCTATTGGAAGTGTCGTCGTAGGAGGAATTGATTCGGGAAGAAATCAAACGGACGAGTGTACATTCACGAAATTTTTCGGGACGCGGTGCGCTCGGTCGAGAGGCTCTGACCTGTGGATTCAGCCTCAACGATTCGATTCTCGCGCCAACTCTCTACGACGCTATCTCCATAATTCGTTCTCTCCATTTGGTCTGAAGAATTATACACTTGACTTAATCTGACAGCGGGGAACGAAAGAATACGGAGTAAATCGGAATGAAACGAAGCGTAGTAAATGTCCCGACACATAAACCCGATGTCTTTAAATTTCCGCACGCTATAACGGAATTATACCGCGTCATTACACGAGATTACACCGACTCATCGAGCACGTTAAAGCGATATTACAGTCTCCCTTCGTGCTACAATTGTCTTCTCATTGCCGCACGATGTCTTTTTTCCTTTCTCTGGCTCCACCTTTCTCTCTCCGATAATTTTCATTTATTTCTACATATTTCGAGACACCCTGTGAGACAGCCTGTATACACACAGAAGCGCGCTCTGCGCACGCGAGCTATTGTAGCGCGTGTGAAACTGGGTCGCGTCGAAAGAGTTCCATAGAAGCGCGTTACACGGAGGTAAATATGAGTGTATATTTTTACGCCGTTGCATTAATAAAAATTCTAACACATCGTGTTAAAACTCGACGAACGTCGCTATATGTTCATCCTGTATTTATCGTAATAGCGCTGCTTGCGCTGTATTTGAAATCCGAAACGAGTTTCGAACGAAACGGATTTTCGGCGATTCTTCCCGTTTCTGGGGAGAGAAAGAAAGAAAACGTGGGATTTTAAAGGAGAAAGAAATTTCAGTGTATATG